TTATTGATGCTAACATGGACTGGCTGGTAGGGAGCAAGACCAAGGGCATGTGGAGGTCATAAGTCATTAAAGGCAATAGTATCATAAACCACAAATGCATTATACCCCTCTGTAGCTTTGTTTTTTGTTTTGACCTTTATAAATTTAACATGGATAATTCATAAAATGACAGAGTCCTTAACAATTCACATCTGCATCAATCATTCAAAAACTACCAATCAAAGGAAAATAAAACACAGATTATCGCATGGCTCTCAAGGTTCCTTCATCTTCAGCATTTGTATTCAAAGTCATCCTCCTTTAATTTTTCAAATTTCTGGAGAGTTAGGATTCCATTTCTCAGAATAGAATTTCACCAGCTGTGTGACTCCTACAGACTAAGGCTGCAGTCATCTGTGTGTGGTGCTGAGTTAAGGCTGATCAGCACTGTTAAAAAACTTGTAGGGACCAGCTAGGCTAATAAAGGCAAAACCAACCACAAACTTGCCTAAAGCACATGGCAGTTACTCCTACGACAAAGTCAGGTCACTTTTGAATACATAAAAAGACAATCAGAGACACATCTTTAAAAAAAAAAACAAAAGCAACACAACAGTAGAAACCATTTGCAAGGGAAGTCTGATTTTTAACTTCTGCTTACTCGGAAAACTCCTTTTAAAAACATTCCTATCAGTCTAGGTATTAGGCTATACAGAGAAAATGGGACAAAATACTTTAAAGAGTACATATATTTAACAGAAAAATTATGACAAAGCTTTCTTGGTGTTTCAGTTCCATTTTTTACTTTCCCTCTTTGAATTTAAATTTTAGCCCACTGGCAAGTAAGTAACTAGTGGGTAATTAGTTGACCAATTAGTTCTATGACAATCTCACAATTTTGCCTATGCAATAATAAAGTTACATGCGCATGGCTACATTCTTGCACCACACCTCCTACCTTTAGGGAAAAATCCCTACAACCTCTATGGCTATCCCAGCATGAAGCATGGCTGATAATAGACAAACCACTTACCAAAAGTAAAAAAACATACCTTCTCATTTCTCTGCTGAGCAGTGGAAAATGTAAAAGTATCTATAAATGCACAGTAGTAAATAGTCCTATAGCTTAAGGTATTTCTGTGCTCAGTGCCATCCACATAACTCTTTAAACTCCTTTCCTGTGAATCGTACTAGGGAACTGATCTGATGCAAACAAAACCAATATAAACATGCTAAAAAAATAAAATTGTGTCACTTTTTGCCCAGTTATCCACTCCAATTCACCCCTGCACCATGACATTACCCTACTATTGCCAGTGAATCGTTTTTTAGTGAAATCACAACTTCATGGCTACCATTAGCTTTTAAAAACTGCAGTGACCTGGTATTCAGGAAACAAACAGGTACCTCTCCACACCAATGCAATCAACAGAAGAGCTACAGCAAGTTCAGCCCTGGCATCATAGCAGAGAAACAATCAGCCCAGCACCAGGAAGGCAAAGAACCAATCCTAGAGATCTAGTCTAGCCTAGCCTTGGCTTTCAAAGAAGAACCATTAAGATCCTAAAGCTATGAAAGTAGTGATGATACTATGATTTTAGAAGTATTTTTAAAAGGTCTGGCTGTGTGGGCACAAGTCTGCCCATCTCAGTGCACTCTCTACAAATATAATGTGTTTGTGTATTTGCAAACTTCACTTTGCTCAGCCTCTGAGGGTCTGATCCATTAGCACGCTCCACTACCTCTAGTCACAGCATGATGCAAAAACCATTCCATTTGTACAAGCAGAAAGTCACATGCAATTTAAGATTTTAGGATTCCAGAAGTTTCACCAAGGTGCACATCCAGAACTGCCGCAGCCCTGATTTGAGCATGTACAGACATTTCAGACATGCTGACCAGGCACCCAGCAACCACACATGCAACATGTCTAATGCACACTGGCAGTGAGCACCAGGCAGCAACCCTCCGAAGCTGTGGCAGCTGGAGGCATAGTTCATGCAAAATGCATCAACACTGCTGGCAACAGAGAATCCAAACTTTCCCCCCACCCCGCAGCTGGGTATCCTAATGGCTGGAAACTGAATCAGGTTCTGGCCCACACTTCTTGTCCCCAGTCCTTGCGTTGAATTGTAACAATACAGTGCAATGGCCCTGCCTGTTTAAAGATCCTCCAGCGACTTTCCTTTTCTTCATCCCAATTCTTTCATTTCCCACTGGCTGCCTTAGATGCTCCCTAGTGAGCACACTGCCTGTTTTCGTACCAATTCCAGACACCTCTGGTAGCCCGGTGGTCACATTTCTTAATTCCAAAGTCAAGTGGGTAAAAAAGTTAGGCGTGGAGATGTTAGTCTAAAGAACAGTAAAAAAATAATCTTGTCCAAAATTGGTTTTCATATGGCCAGAGTGTAAGGCAGATCTCCAAGAAGACTCAAAGAGTGACCATATCAGTCAGCACAAAAACACTTCTTTCAGGTTGCCTAGGCATGCAAGACATCATAAATATATGAATCCAGCAGCTGATGTTTAGGGATCTCATGTATCCAACAAGAGGAATGCGATTAGTCCTGCAACAAGCTGTATTTCTTCTGTTTCTTCTCTAAATGCACATGGCTTGGTGTACACGCAGTCACTTTGCCACTCTCTCTCTCTCAAATGTTTATTTTTTTCCTCTTCAGAGGAAAAGAAAAATGCCAACAACCCATTGCTTGTGAGCAATTTCATCCTTTACACACTTGATTTTGTTCAGGTCAAGTAACATTTTTGGTAAAGAATATAATTGCAATTGCCTGTTTCTAAGATCTTGTAAATAGCATGACATTATTTTAAAAACTGCATTTACAGTGTTCCTTTAAGTGTTTTAACACAGCTTCAGCTGAAATTGCTTTATTCCAAAGCAATTGAATATAGAGCATTTTTATAAGGACCTCTTTGTCTCTCTGCAAATGACTGAGATACAGATACTTTCCAGAAACAGAATGCATCAGAAAACATGCAACCTTACATTCTATTAGCCATAGTTATCTAGCACCATAAAACATCAGTTCCTGAAGATATGGTGTAGCTAAAGCAAAACAGCATGATTAGCAGAGTCAAGTAGTGCCTAGAGGCCTTATGCAACTTTAGGTCTGGCACCATACAAACACACAGGCCCTATTCAGTATGGTAAAGCCATTCTACAGCCAAAGCAGAGGCAATTCCATAGATAAAAAGCAAAAATGAAGCTAAAATTCAGCAGCACATTCATTCCATCTTCCAGGAAATACAGTATCACATACCTCCTTGTCATACTCCTTGGACAACATAGACAAATAAAATAGATATTGGCCAAAACAAGCTGGTCAGAAGACACATTGTTATCATTCAGGGCTGTAAGCTTGTCTACATTACAGCTCCAGGAGGAGTGCCTTTAACATGTGAATTGAGGCACACTCAGAAGAGCTCCTCTAACCTCCTACGACACAAAGCTGCATAGAAAGAGCAGATTATTTCCCAATGTGATAAAAAGCAGATAACTTTAAATACTTTTCAGCAGGCATCACAAAAGACAAGGTATACACACAACTGCTGGATCCAGAAGCTCTCTCCTAGGCTATACATGAAACAAAGTCATCCTGCAATTCCTCTTACAAGAATACCATAATGGAAAGGAGCAAGTTCCAAAAACTTGCCAAAACCACTGGTAGTTGCAACATGTGATGCCATCAGTACCTAACATATTGAAGATATAAAGCAACCTCTTCCACCAACTCCTCTTGCCCCACCTTGCTCTGATAAGGACGGGTGGGGTCAGAGAGGAAACAGTAGTATAAAGACACACTAGTACAAACTCAAATGAGACAAAACCCACACTGTAATAAAGCTTTTCAGGGTAACTCAGTGTCCACTGCGGCAGAGAGCTGCATGGAATTTTTCCACAGCAGAATTGCTCTATGAGTGTCTTTCCTGGGATTATTCTTGCCAGTGGGCCCTGTAAGCATGACGTGAGTCTTGTGAGATGGGACTCAACCAGTTCTCCTGAAGGTACGCATCATAAGCAAAAATTTATGTAGTAGAAGAAACCAAATTAAACTAAATACATAAACTGTGACAGGCAGGAGAGTGGAGTAAATGACTTGCCTTCTCCTCTTGTTTCAGCTGCAGTCATCAGTCATGCTACTTTGTAGTTAGAAAAGGTCTGAAGTTATCAGCACTCATACAAATTCAACGTCCCTCTATCAAGCAAATTCTGGTCTCTTAAGAAATCAAGATGCAGTAATAAGCCATAAGCATCATAAATACATGTTGGGGTTTTTTTTTCTGAGGGGAAAGTGGAAAGAAGAGTCTTATGATATATATAAGAATTTACATATTTCTGCACAGATCCAAAATACAACTACGCATGAGCAAGCACTGCTGGACCTGCACAGACTAGCAACAGGACTTCCCATGTAGATATTACATAGTGCTATCACATCCAAAAAATTACCATGGTACCATTAAATGCCATAATACTATTAAATCTATAGTACATAATCTCTGTGGTGCTTCAGGGAAACAGATTGCTCTCTCCTTACTCACCAACCACTTTCCTCTCCACAACTGATCTCACTGAGTGGCTGGAGCCTGTCCACAATGGACCCCACTCCTTTCAGGAACACAGGAGTCCATCATGATGCCAGAATCCCTCACCTCTTCTTTTCTGAGGGCCCAACAAATCCATGTCCAATGCAATGCAATTCTTCTCTTCCATTTTGCTGGAGGAAGGGAAGAATGGCACGATTGAGGGCAAGAAGAGCAAGTTTAATCTGTTCCCAGGCACACTCCACGCTACTGCCAGCACAGGAAAACAAGCACGGAAGAAGGAGCTGAACAAAGAGGTAAAACAGAGCTGTATGATGCGCAAAAGGACACACTGGGTGTGCATGGCAGCAAAATAAAGTGGCATGGTTGTGTCAGCATCTAATAGTTTTGGTGTTGTTTGCAATCATGTTTATTTAGAACTGCATTGCCATTGTGCCTGCAATTCAATCGCTGCTTACCCAAACCTCACTAATTCATATAATCCAGGTCAGGCACTGGATCGCTTCTGCAGACAAAAAGGTTTGTAGAGGCAGGGCCAGTGGTATCAATCCCTCACAGAACTCCAGTTAATACAGCTGAGGTGATGCATCTTGCAGGACTGGTGTTCAGTGCGAGATGTCTGACTGTAGTAACACCAAGAAATACAAGGAGCCTATGCCTGGGGACTAACTATTTTTGGTGTGACAAGGTTTAGGATTTTAAAGGTAACCAGAAACAACATTTAACTCCACTGATACAGCTTCCATAATAAACAGTTCCAGGAAAACACAAGAGAAAAGAGAATTAAAAAAAAAGAAGTTAAACACACGAAAATTGCGTAACAAATTTTCTTTACCTTGCATTAGAGCTATCCCAAATATTGTCACATAAGTCAGCAACAAATCTCTTTTTGTTAAATTCTGGATGTGGTTCGAACAGTTTTAGAAAGATTTATACATGCACTTAAAATTAAGCATGCAAGCAAGTCCCATCAGATACTGATATAAGGTTCATGCCTTCACTTGAACAGTCATTTTACAACTAGCTTTTCTAGCATGCTATGTTTGTTCATAAGACAGTAATTTTAAAATAACTTATATATTCTGGGTAGTACGGGCAACCAGTACGTGACCAATGGATAAAAGTTCACACACAACACACAAAAAACCAATTACATTAGAAACAGAGGTATTCCACAGTATTTAAAAATCAACTCCTGTATCATTATTACACATTCCATACAATTACAGAAGTTTATCCCATGCTATCTACAGCAGAGATAAAGTTTAATGGTGTTCAAGTGCTTCCATGCTAAGCCACTGTTTTTACAGTTTTCTAGGCTTTGATTTATCTATCAAAATTATTTGAGTTCAGAATTTTCATTAATGCAATTTTTAACTGTTTTGAATGTAGCTTAGTGGCTATGAAATATAAAGATTAAAAATATTATATATACTAACCCCCATTATAAATATCAATTTCTGACCTTAAGTTGAACAGACAAACTAACATAGTAGCAAAGGCAAAATCAACTACAGAAAGAAGTCTCATTGAGACGTACCTTAGAACCTTCCACTGAAAATATGTTTGTATTTTACCAAGCAGTAGAACTTTTAAAAGACAGCAAGTCACACTTTGCACATGCATGAGACAACAGCTATGCCCAGAACTTGTAGCAGAATAGAGATCAAGGGTAACTGACATTCACTCAACACAAACATTTAATTTTGCTGTAAAATACACACCAGGTGAACAGCAAGGGGCATTAGCTAGACTATGTAAATTCTCTTTAGAACTAGCTGGCTAAAGGGCAGAAAAACAACATTGTGATTGCATTGTTAAACACTCAAAATGAAGAAATAAGCAGGACACACTATGTAAAGTATTAGTGCTTTGTACCTGCATAAAGATGTTCCACATAGCACAAAGCAGAAAAAGAAGCCAGTACCTAGGATAGTAATTTAATTACCAATGGGGTAAAAATCTACCGGAAAATCTCACCTCTGTTTTTTACTGGAAATATGTGTGAATATAATTTATAGTGGAGTTTTCCCAAAACAGTTTCAGAAAATGTTTTCAAAGTTTAAGAAAAGATACTGATGTGTAACATACATTGTTTAAAATGCTGTGTAAGGTGCAAACATAGAGCTGTATACAATGGAGGAAATTAAATTGGGCTGTAGTGCCCATTTCTTGATACCTGAGTGCTTAACTATGCAGTCTTAACAGTACCCTATTTGGGTTTTCCTTTTGAGAGACTGAATTCCTAGAGTTTGCTTAATATGTCAACATTTGAAATCTTGCAAGCAAAGACCAATTACAATCAATCCCAAAGACTCATATGCCTAAAAGGGTATAATTAAGAAATTAAAGGAAGCGGTCATGCAGGACACTGGCAAGAAAAAAGTATGAAAGAAATTTTAGAAAAAGCATTTAACTCACCAGTCCATTGTTTGGCTGAGGTGAAAAAGGCAAACATTACTGAGATGCATCAGTGAGGAAGTTAGAACACAAATCAAGGCCCGTGCCTGCAAGCACACGTGAATAACTTCAGGCCCAGAAGCTCTTTCCCTGGCAAAGTTATTCACGTGTGCTTGCAGAACCTAAGCTCAGATGTTAGCCTCAAAGTACAAAGTGCTACTTACATTTTGCTACTGACCTCAATATAAATAGAAATTTACCTGTATTTAACTGTTTCAACTGAAGAAGACATAAATCCCTTTGAAGTCCCACAGGCTAATGCAATTAATCCATGCTAGCTGCTCACAGTTCTAGTTTGTTTGTTTGTTTTTAACATAAGTCTCTCAGAATGTGTTTAGGCTCACAAACCAGAAGCCTTCCTCGGAAGCTATGTGAGGACTGTACACCCTGGGGTACAAAGAGCTTATCTCTGCCTTGCAATATAGCAAGAATGCTTATGACATGACAATTAAGCCATTATTCTTTTTATTGGGTATCTCTCTGCCAAGCCTGATGTAACCTGACATATACAATATTCAATTAGGTGTCTCATAAAGTGCTGAATCTTTCCAACATATGCTTGTGTAGATTTTAGGGATCTGAACTGTGTAAGAAATCTAGCTTAAAGGAGGACACCACATGAATGTGTAGCATGAAGCACACGTGTCTACCCAATTAAACAAATACAAATTACACAAAAAGTATTTTTAAGTATAGGTGACTAGCATAGGTTAAAATGGATTGCAGATTACAAACACTGCTTGGAGAAGAGAAAATAAGTAAAAGGTTCAAAAAGTCAGAGACTAGAAGACTTTTAAGTCTTCAAACACCAATAGTTTGGTCAGGTGTAACCACCATGTGTGTATGAACAGTGGCCAATCAAAAATTTTTAAAAAGGCTAGATAAGTCAGCTGAGATTCACAAATAGTGAACACAAGATTTGGGGATGACTGTTTTATATACACTAGCAATGAGGAATCAAATATTGCTCAATCCACTAAAAGAGCCTTCAGTTCAGATAACCTACATTCTTACTGAGAAAGGTGCTGACCAAAGCAGCTCTATCATATCCTAGCTGAAATAAAGGAGCACACAACTCTGGCCACACTAAGCCATGCTTTGAGTTGTTTGGGGAAGATTTGTTTCCTGATTTTTCCTCCATGTAAGTTTCACCGCTGACTTCAATTAAAGGACACAGAGTCATTTATTTTTGAAGTGTCAGTATCCAAACATGAAACCTACTGAAAGTAGTAAGTTTTGAAACACCAACACTACATCTAATTTTATCTCCCTTTAGATATGGCCTTGATCCAGCAAATTACTATTTTTTTCTCTGGGATGGGAGTATATTACCAGGTGATCAAATAATGTATTTCAATTTGTTTATTCTTCTGATTAGCAAAAAAGCGTAAATTATCCACCTGACAGGACAGCACTGAAAAGTAAAAATCGTTGGAAATTATAACCAGATGTGAAAGCAGAAGGTAAAAAGGTACATGGAGAAAATGGGAGAAAAAGCAGAAAGGGACTATCGCGCTAAGGCCTGCAAGCAGGGCAGGGCCAACATCCGTGCCCACTCCGGGACCTGCCAGCCGCCAGCCCGAGAAAGGGCTGCATCCTCTCGCCCAAACAGCGGCGAGCGTGTCCGCAGGCACGACACGTGTGTCCGTGTACCTGTATGCATCTGTACACTGTAACGAGGTGCGCGGCGGGGCTCCCACTGAGGCACTGCTGGGCCTAAAGGCACTTAGCGGGGCCAGGGCACGGGGGCCCGGCGGGGCAGTGCGGGGCCTCGCCGGCGAGAGCGACGCCGCCACCGGCATCGGCACCAGCACCGGCACCGGCCGCGGGAGGCGCCGTGCAGTGTCATTCATGCCGATGATGCACTGCAACGGGAGCTCAGGCCCCTGCTCCCGGCGCGGGCAGCCGCGGATCCTCGCCGCGCTGGCCACAGCCCCACCGGCCGGGGGGCCGCCCGCTGCCCACCCCCCGCTCGCCGGGGCCGGCGGCGAGCGGCCGCCGACCCGCGAGGAGGAAGAGGAGGCGCCACCTCGGCTTTCGTCAAGGACAGGCCCGAGGTCAAACCCGGCAGCCGCCCCGCCGCGGCCCCTTCCCCGCCGCCCGCCCGCCGGCGGCGGTGCCTTACCTTGGCAGCCATGCTGTGCCCGGCGCGGCCACCCCTTCCCGTCCCTTCCCTTCCTCCGCTCCCCTCCCTTCCGACCGCGGCACGCAGCTTCCCCGCCTGCGCACCAGCCCGCCGGCGCCGGCCGTCACCGCTCGCTCTCGCAGGCAGGGATGGGGCGCCGCCCCCGCCCGGCCCCGCCGCGGCCCCGTGATCGCCAGGCAAGGTCCGGAGCGGCCCTGCGGGCTCCGCGCTGGGCGCCGGACGAGGCGGCGGGAGGTGCGGCCTCGGGCACCGGCGGAACGCCGGCGCTGCGGGGCGAGCACCGCCTCACCCCTGTAAAGGGCCCAGTTGGCCTCCCGGTTGCTCCGCGGTTACGGCTGGCGGCCCAGCACGGGCGCTCCGAGCCCCTGGGGGCCCCGCAGCCTGTCCGCCGCTGGGGACGGTGACATGTCAGCAGTTGGTGACTCGTACTGCTGACCCGGGGGAATGCCCCCGGCGCGTTCGGAGGACGCCGGGGCGAGCAGCGGAAGGATGCCAACACCTTCACATCAAACCCAGCGCTGTTTTCTTCCCCTCAAGACAATCTGCTGTTCGAGGGATGTTTCATCCAGTTGCAGCATCCCCAGCCATCATTCTGGGATGTCCCAAGAAGGAGGTGTGCCTTCAAACCGAATTTTGTCAATGCTGTGCTAGTTTCTAAATCACCATGAATGTGACACACAAGCAGCCCCGCCGCAGTCCAGGGCTGTACCCGGGACGACCACAGGTGTGGCAGGCTGAGCCCCACGGGCGGCTCGCAGACTGCCGAGGACAGGCTGCCCGGGCACGTTCGGCAGTGCCCCGCTCGGGGTGCGGGCCTGTGGCTCCCCCGGCGCAATCGTCAGGCTGCCAGCGCCCGCTCTGGCTCGTCCGGGACTTCTGGGGGATTTTAGGGCAGACTGGGATTGGTAGTGGAGGCTGGGAGCTTGCCACGTGCATGGAGCTAAAAGGTTGCTTGCAAGAACAGCTCCGGGGCAAGTTTGCAAGTTAATAATGATGTATCGAGTTAGTCATAGCTTTGAGGTAGATATTTCAGCACTTTCCCTTCAACTGTAAAGATGCTAAAAAAACAAAGGATCTCAGAGACTTCTATTGCATTATAAACCAAAAACAATTAACTCTTTGATTGCTATAAGTTGTCCTAGAGAGACAGTAAAGGAATGATAAGGATTCCTAAATGCGTCTTCACCTTAGAGAAGGTGAAGGTGATTTCTCATCGTCTTAGAGAAATTGTAAGGATTTATAAACATATCTATACTTGCCCACTAAATCTGTGAAGAATATCTCTATTTATGTTTTCAGTCCAATGAGTTAACTACTTCCAGTGTTTGAGCAAATTATAATCTCCCCTGTGACCCCTGGAAGTTTCTTCCATCACTAGTGAGGCCCAGCAGCAGACATACCCCCTTCTCAGCAGTCTCCCAGTCTCAGTTTCCTGTAAAAACCTCCCACTTGCTGGATTCTCTTCCTTTTCTGCTTGCTCCACATATGTGTGCTCATTGCATGTGCTCTGCTGTTCTGTGAGACAGCACAACCTTTCTCTTCTTGCTGCATCTCTCTGACCTAGAAAATAGCAATTAGATCAGAGCAGACTCGAAGCCCTTCCTCCAACCCCACTTTTTCAAATAAACACAGACTATGTAGTGCTTATCTGCAAACTAGATAAGTAAATACTGCCACCTTGTCATAAATGAATAGATAATAGCAGTCCATTTATAAACAATAGAAAACAATCTTCGATTATTTTAATGATACCCCTAAGAAGAGAAAAATTATGTAGAGAAAATAGCATAACAATTGTCTTATAATACAAATACTACATTCTGTGTATATTCATAAGTCAGGATATTTAAATGTGAGCTTGAAATTCAGTCCTATTGTGAAAACAGGCTTCAATAGCATTTTTTTCCAATTTAATACTGCTAAGAAAATTACTAGAATTCTCATACTGACACATGGTCTTGAGCTAATTGCCAAGGAAAAACACAACCCAAAAAAAGTGCTTATGTTTCAAGTAGACTGGTGATGAAATTCAGAGAGGTGAGTGAAAAAGGATGATCCTGGAAAGCCTTTTTCACCTGCTCCCTAAATACAATAGCACTTGACCTCTTTTAACACTTACAATCATAGAATCATGGAATTGTTTGCTTTGGAAGGGATCTCTGAAGGTCCTCTGGTCCCAGTCCTCTGCAATGAATAGGGATATCTTCAATCAGACCAGCTTACTCAGTTTATTCAAGATCAGGTTGGATAGGAACTCTGCCCATCTACCCTTCTACTGGTCTTGAATATTTCCAGGGATGGGGAAATACCATCTCTCTGGGCAACCTGTTCAGTGTTTAAAAAAATGTCCTTTATCTAGTCTAAATCTGCTTCATTTCCCATCATTCAAGAGCTCCAGGCACCTCAAGATCTGAGCATGCCTTCAGCACTGCCTTGGTCCCAACAAGACTGGAAAGTCACTGCCTCGCTTGCAGGAAAACCTGAGTTTGGCCTCACAGGTCTCTGATGATGACCAACAGACAAATATGGCCCAAGTTCCTTATCTTCAGAGAAAAGGCAGTGAAGGCTAATAATGTTCACGTTTTAGATGGTAAGCAATATGACTGTAGTGGACTACAGCACTCTCCTTAGCCACACAAGCAACTTGTTTTCAAAGTCCGCTGTTGATTGAGGTTAGATTCAAGCCCATGTGTCATACTCATTTCAGTATGTTTTAACCACAAAGCCTTAAACTGCTCTGGGGAAGAGAGGAGGAACATTAGTCAT